TTTCATATTTTATGTGTGTTAAATTATTGTCGATTCTTCTGAAATTTTCATTATAATCAACAATAATTTGTCTCAACAGAAAGAAAATTAAATGCATAGTTTTTAAAATCACTGATATAGTTTTAATATGGTCCTAGGGAGGGTCGCCAGAATTTTTTAACTTGTAAAGGGGTCGCATATTCAAGAAGGTTGAACAACACTGCTCTACAGAAATGGTCTTCTTATATTGATGGTAGTCCTCGCTTTACTGAACAGTCTCATAAAATCAGAGATGAAATTAAAATTTCAACCCATCCACTATTGTGTTGCTTAATTATTGATGAAATGGCTATTGAAAATACAAGTTTATTGCGATGGGAAAGAAGTAATAGGATATATTGATCTTGGTTATGGAAATCTTAATGCTTATGATACTCCCATGGCAATATAAGCACTTGTGTTTTTAGTAACTGCAGTCAACAAATGGAAAGTACTGTATTAAATTATAAGATTCGTTTTCGTTCCTGGGACAACTGTTCCCGATAGAGCGGCGTTCCGATCGTCGAATAGGCTAAATTGGTGAGAGTCGCGTTAGCACGTGTATATTTTTAAAGGTGTTTTTGTATCGTTTTTATTTATTTTATTTTTATTTTTTGAGTTTTTTTATAACACACGATCGTCGATTTGCCTTCAAATTGTCTGTTTTTAAAGAGACGAGGCTGAAATCGTCGGTTTTTACGAAAAAGCGCGTGAAGTCAGAATCGGTGGATTTCTAGCAAGTGGGATGTGAAAATGTCAGGCACAGAGTTGCTATAACAGCAAAAGTTTTATACTGTATATTTATATCACTTGCAGACTGCAAAAAAGTACAGTCTGCAAGTAATGTGAAAAATTAAAAATAATTATATAAATATTGCTAATAAACTGAATATTGAAGTAGGCCTATATCCTATACATTATTTATTTAACTTTCATTGTTAACTAACTAAATAATATATACGAGGCTACTTATAGTTGTGCAGGATGTTTTTTATTATTATTATACTTAAGTCATATTGAATATTAAAATGTCTAAGAAACGAAATTAAAAAAGATTTGTAAATTTTTTACACTGGGTATAATCAGTTTACAATGTATCTTAAAGCTTTCATAAACCATTTTATATGAAAATTAGTTTTATATGAAAACTAGTTTTAATATCGTTTTTGAAAATATAAGAATTTTAATTAACAATTTTTTTAATATAAATAATCTAAGATTTGATGTGATAAAATCAAAAAAAAAAAAATACACCATTCGTACTTTTCCAGCAATAACTTCAATCACAGAACAAACAGTTTACCTCAGGACGTAAAAATGACTACCGATTTATTTATTACTATTTAATTTTAACTTTCGTAATAATGAAAATTCAACGTCTCCGGTGCATCTCTCGTTAGAATTGCCTTCATCCACTTCATGTGCAGTTGGCTTGGGTAAAATAAGATCCCTATTTCATCACAAATCTTCCCCAAGGGACTATCCCACAGCATCCATCTTGACGACTACGATTTTGTTATGTATGTAAACCTCCAGGGGATAACCCACACCAAATTGCCCCTTGACCTAGTTAGGCGACCTTGCAGCTCTGACCCTTGTCGTGTTTCTTTGTCTCCGGTCAGTCGTACGTTAGCTGTTGTAACACTTACAGTTAGACCTAGAGGCACAAAGTTACGTTTGTATTATCACCAAGTTACGTTTGTATTATAATAAAGTTAATTATATACGTTAACAAGTAATCGTTTATTTTACGGACAACAGATTTCCAACACACCAACCTTCCCACTGAACACCGTCGTCACCTCTTGCAATAGGCAGCAAATCAAACTACGTATTCCTTGATTGCCACTGAAGGCCTCAAAGGCCAAAACTCGGTGACGGCAGCCTTCATTGATATCACTCACGACACCTCCGCCCGCTTCGCGCTCTATCCAGCAGCCTCGATCTTCACTGCAGAAGGTTCTGCTATCCTCCGTGCTATTCTCTACAGCACCACCATCAACACCAAATACATCATCTGTACCGATTCCAAGTCCATTCTCACTACGCTCAAGAATTACCACGACATGTCCGCCATGATCATCCATCTCATCATCTCGGCCCTTCACAAATGTCCCCACCAAAACCTTCATATCAAGCTAGTATGAGCCCCTGCCCACAGGAGCATAGCCATCAACGAAAAGGCCGACAACCTCGCAAAAAGCCATCCACAGGACTCCCACAACACCACTTTCATCACCGCGGAAGATCTCAATATTCTCTTAAAAACCGACAACCAAAAACTTATGGACACTAGGTAGAGTAATTATCCAAGACACTCTTTTCATCCCTGACTCAACAATCCTATTAAAAGAACCAGAGCCGTAACTAGGCAGGTGCAACAGGTGCACCCGCACAGGGCCCACTTGGAAGGGAGGCCCAAACTGCTGTTCACAAGAAATTATATTTTTAAATTAAAAATTTTTCCGCTTTTCTACAGCGCGGTTTGGAGATTACATTTCGCCTTACTTAGACCCTAGATGTCTGCTCACCAGTGTTCCCAACTGTAGCGACTTTTAGAGGGACGTAGTGAGGTAGCGGAGACCTCAGACAAATCACCAAAAAGTAGAGACTTTTGATATTTTTTAATTAATTTTTTTGAGAAATTTAAATTTGTGTTTATATTTTTCAAATTTACAGATTTTTCTCTACTTTATAGAGCTTTCTGACAACTACTAATATTATTACGATATACAAACTGTATTTCTAGATTTTTCTACAGTGTGCAGAGCTAGAAATCTGTAAAGGCAACATTTTGTAACAAAAATAAATCTGTCTGAGGATTTTTTTAAAATTACTAAATTGAAAGCGGTAACTCCCGAATAAAATCTTAGTATCGAGGTTGTAAAAGGAGTGCAGAAATTCTGACATCAATTTTTGCTTTATAGTGGTACGCATATGTGGTGTATACCTGAACGGCGGATTAAGCGGTAAGCGAGCTATGCAGGCGCGTAGGATCCGAAGGAGCTCCTTCAGTCTTTAAAATGCTACTGAAAAAAGGGATTGCGAAAACGCAGAAGATAGAAATAGTCCAAAAAAACGCTTCGATATATATAGATACATGGAAGTAATAAATGATATAGCTTTATGGCCAACAATATTAACAGATGCTATTATTGATCATATTCTTAAAACAAACCAAAAAGTATAGAAAAGGGATTTCTTAATAAACGAAAAAAAAGAGTTAAGATAATGGAAATAGATAAAACACCAGATGAAGGAAGTAACTTGACACCCGAAAAATTATTTAAAATACAAATTTACAGTGTTCTTGACACTCTATTGTGTCAAATAGATTGGCGTTATGAAAAAATGAAAACTATCTGTGACGATTTTTGCTTTCGCTGTGGCTGGTCTTTACAATGCATGAGTTTGCTGATTTAAAAAAATCGGCTGCAGATCTCGCTATTAAATATAGCAAAGATTTAAAAAAGTACGAATTCACAAGTGAAATTGAAAGTTTTAATTTTGAAGTAACGACTCTTATACAAAATATAGAAACTGCATCTCCGCTTAATATTCTACAGGCTCTTCATGATTTTGGTTTAATTGAGTCTTACCCAAATATCAATGTCGCTCTTCGAATATTTCTAACTCTTCCCGTTTCTATTGCTTCGTGCGAGAGAAGTTTTAGCAAGTTAAACTTAATAAAAAATTATTTAAGATCAACTATCGGACAAGAGCGATTATCCAATATTTCTATTATTTCAATAGAATACAATATCGTTAAAAATATTAATTATGATGGTGTAATTAATCAATTTGCTGAAATGAAAGTCAGAAAAATTCAATTAAAATAAATGTTATTAAAAATCTATTGTAATGTATTTGTTTTATTATTTTCCCAAAACCAAATAAATTAAGGGGCCTAAATGCAAATTCTTGCACAGGAATGGCTAGTTACGGCTCTGAAAAGAACGACTGTCTGAACCGATCGCCACACAGAAACCCTGTTCCACAAGACGGGACTGGCACTCTAATCACCTCTCTCCAAACCCGCAATCTCTCTATCAACAACAAATGCAACTATTTCTCCGATCGCCTCGACAGATGCTGCAAATTCGACAACATCCGGAAAAAGATTCTCAAACACATCAGCGATTGCCTAAATCTAAATTTAACGAACATATGCGTAGCAGCCCTAACAACATTTTTCAACGAATATAAAAAAAAAATCTACTAAAACTAGTGGTGACCGCCCGATCCCCCCCCACTACTTATCCAATAATACATATACACTAGGGTTTCTTTCCCGGGATCCCGTTTTCCCGGGATTCCCGCCGTTTATTCGCTACGAGAAAAATTCCGAGAAATTTTATTTTCCCGGGAAATCTCGCATTTCAATAATAATTTATCATGTCAGGTTTTCTTTCTATTATTTATTATACGAAAAGTTGCATCTTGAAGACTCACCTAAGAGAGAAATTTTGAGGTTTCATGCTGCATATTATTACCTATGTTTTACAAGTCTCTACTTGTTAGTTCATGTAATATCTATGTATTGTGTTTGCGCATCATTGAACAGCGGAGCACTCGCTGAAAGTAAATATCACTCATCGCACTTTAGTTTATTTTTTATTTCATCTTTAGAAATAAAATAGTATTTTTTTTCGTAATCATTAAAACTCCCAATGAAACGCTTTATTTTACTTTCATCTTATAATGTAGGAGAACATAAATTAATTGAGCCTAACGTGTCCGTATGGGTGAGATTGGCCCTACACTTTTAGTTACTTACTAGAAAATAAATTAAATTATTCAAATTTATGATATTCCTGTATGATCTTTTTTATTCATATAAAATTCTATTTTACTATCTCATCCCGGAATTTCCCGGGATCCCGGGAAAAGAAATTATTTTTCCCGTAATCCCGCTGGAGGCAAATTTCCCGGGAAATAAGAAACCCTAATATACACGCAAGGTAGCTAACGCCCAACCATCCCGCCAGAGGGCGGCCAAACAAGCAAGCAAGCATGGGAAGATTGTGATCGCGGAAGCCTCGTAGCCAAGGTCCAAGTTGCCCCAGAAGATTGTGATGAGTAGGTGAGTATATTAGATCCTTAAAGCACGGAAGAATTACTTTTATTCAAAACTATATAGTTCGTGTTAAATGACTTTTAAATGACCAATAATAATGGAAGAACCTAATTAAAGTATTGTTATTATGGTGATGAATTTATGTTCGGTATTTGTTTATTAACTATACACCAACGTTTTCTCTCTTAATTTTATTTATAATAGAGACATACATGCTAGACATTTCCAAAACACAAATAAAAACTTTAAAATCTTTTATGGAACACTCGAGGTAGGTTTGCCGAACACCGGTTAAGAACGACTGATATAAAAATTAATAAAGTTTGTACTAGTAAACAGTTGAAAGGAATTCTTAAAAGAATAGAACCACTTTTTGTGTTGAATTTCTTTCTTTGAATCCTTTTACACAGACCTGCAGATTTAAAAGTATAGTATTTGTTTTTCACATATAGTTTTGTCCTGGATTTCTTTGATAACTTTTTCTTTTCTGGTCCTAAGATGGTTTGATGCAGTCACAAATTCTCTTTTATGCATGTCTTGATTGCAAAATCATAACTAAACCAAACAAGTGTCAAAACTTGTTACATTTCAAATTAATGTACATTACTTATATGATTCAGTCATAAATTGCTTAATCTCAAAAAGATTTTTAAAAATTGCATGAAAAAGATTTGTGTGTGATATTTGCTGCTAAATTTAAGATAAAAAAAGAAATAATAATTTTGTAAAAAAATCAATTAACTATTTTATTTATATATGGAAAAAAATTATTTCATTTCTAATCTAAGATTTAAAAAAATTATCCTGTGAAGATATGTCAATACAGTATTAATGCTGTGCTATACCAAAATTTTGTTTTGATATACTGAATATCAATATTGTGAGATTAGCAGTGGGTCACTAGTTAATCCCCAAATGACCACTTACTCTGCAACAGGTTGATAAAACCTGATCTCTGAGTCCGTTGGATGGCTAGGAGGGCAAATCAAGTGGGGGGTGCATCGGTAAGTCAGCAGGCTTCCTCAGATAGACAGGAGACAGGTTCAACAAAATAACAAAGCATTTATTGAATAACTAAATCTAAACTACAGGAGGCAAACTTACTACTAAGGTTAAATGTGGTTATATTAAAATATTTATAGAATATGGCAACTACTTTTGTAGCTATGTCGCTGACCTAATTTCTAGTTCGAGAGAGAGCACTTTTACAAATTCTAGATCCCCTAAATACCTCTCGGTGGAAGGGAGAGTTGGCAAGATTGTCTATATGGAAGAGTAGGAGTCTTGGTATCTTCAAGATTGTCTATATGGAAGAGTAGGAGTCTTGGTATATAAGAGGTAGGAGTCTTGGTATCTTCTATCCGATGTCCTCTCCCTGTAGCTGAAACAGGTCCACTGTATGGAGGTTTGGGAGGTTTGGCTGCTGCTGTAGATGACATGCACACTGCAGTGGATGCAGCTTGGCAAGAGATATCTCAGGCAACCATTAATCTCTTTATTGATAGTATGCCTCGCTGTATAGTGGCCAGTAAAGCTACCAATTGGAGCCATATTTGTTACTGAATGAACAAGTGTCTTTTGCATATTTTTGTTCTTTTAATCATATCTTTGTCACCTCTATGGTCCTGCAATGTACATGTGGCTCTGCATATTCCTTCATGGTGTTGCAATTTAACTTTTGAGAAGTGCATAATTTACATAATTCTAAAATTAAATTAACTTGGTTTATTATAATAAGTAGGGTGGACCATTTTAATTAATCTAATGGAATAACTTGAAAAATTCACATCCTACACAAAAAATTATGTAGCCAAAAATATCAGACTGAGGGTGCCACAAGATTTCACTATAGATAGTGTTACAATTATGGTGAAAATGGGGTCAACTTCATTTACTTCAATGGGATCCTCTATTTTTTATTTCATATTCTGATTTACATAAAAAATAAACAAACTTTTATCTAAAACAATTTTTCAAAAGATGCACCTATTGCAAGTTATGAATGTTTAAAGTTTTATATAGCCATCATACAGTTCATACATAAATCTGTGGATATCTGTGAAATTCTCTGAAAAAAAAAGAAAGAAAAATGCTAAAAAATGTCAGTAGGAAACTATTATTATTTGGTGGAATTGAAGTTTTTTTTTTTTTTTTTAAATAATGAACTGATACAAGAATTAAGCATATTAATGCAATAAATCTTGTGATAAAAAAAGACATTGATCTTGAATCCACCAAAATAATAATCATTCCCTAATGAGTTTTTTAATAGATTTCACAGATTTGTGTGTGTAATGTGTGGCAACTGCAAGAAACTTCAAATGCCACTGATTGTAGTACCATCTACGATGAAACCCAAGTCCTATCTTGTGGTACTCTTGAAGTCTAACATTTTTCACTGAATGATTATTTTTGTAGAATGTGTATTTTTTGAGTTATTCCACTGGATTAATTAAAATGGTCCAACCTATATATATGCAGTATACTGAGTGCTTAAGATTATGATATTTCATTTAAAACTCAGTAATTTCAGAATATCTGTATTTATGCTGCTTATTGTAATGTGGTATTACTGTAGATTGCATTACATCTAGCAACCTGGACATGAAACTCTGTGGAAGTTCCAGTTCCAATGACCAGCCTTGTCTGAAGTTGAGCAGTATCAATGATCTATGTCAATCGACATCACATTCATTTGTTTCTTGGTTCAGACTATCATGGTGTCTTGCATTTACATTTACATGAAAATATAAATTATTAGTCAGAAATAATTATTTAAAAAGAGCATTTAAAATATAAAGTATAACTTTTAGTTTTTGAAGAAGTTTATAAGAAGTTTTGAATTCAAAAACAATCCAGATGAATAGAAAATAAAAAATTGGAGTAGTTGAAAAAATTTCAGTAAACAAATGTTTGGTATGTATATTTGCAAATGTTTAATCTGTTTGTTAACAAAATAATGTTATTTCTTTGAATATCAAATGAACAGCTGGATTTCTTTATCAGACTATTAAGGCTAAATCATTACTAAGCAATTTGGCAGTAGACTGGCTACATCTTTGTGTTTTCTTTGTTTTTGATGTTTAAAACATTTAATCTTATTATTGTACAGTACATATTTGTTATTGAAACATTTTATATATCATTTTTTCAGTATTCAGAATGAATATTAAATTAAAAACAAAAATCTTATAAATTGTTTAATAAAATTCTTGTTTATTTTACAGATTCTACCAGGAATATAAAGTTGATATTTTCACAAATATTTAATATTTTAATGACTTCATCTATGCTACAATACTTAAATAAGTGGTATTCTTTCAATAAGATGTGTTTAACTTTACATAATATTCCAAGGAACTATTTTATATCACATCATTTTTCAAAATGTTTAGAAAATGGAGATAGTGCAAAAGCTCAATTATTACTTCAGTTAGTGAAACCATCTAGTCAGAAGGACAATCTTTCATCCTCAAGAATTTTAAAGAAATTAGAACTTACTAAATCAGTCCAGGAAGTTTTACTATTAACAAGTTTTCAAAATAGTCTTGGACCAAATGAATTGGCTTTTTCATTAAAAACTCTAAAAGAACATCAGTATTTGTTGCTATCTACTTATTGTTGGGCTTATAATAATGAAAGAATTTTATGGGTGCAATCAAAAATTGATACTGATATTCAAAAAAATTTTTATCCACTGTTAAAATCATCTGAATTTATACAAATCTGCAATGCCTTAAAAGATTCCTTTGCTTCATTATCTAATACTGAGCTTTTAATAAGTTTACATTCATTATTACGTCTTCATTTTCCTTGTGATCACGTACTGAGTATGTTATTACAACAAGAATGTTTGCAAAGAAGTCATAAATTTGATTTAATGGAACTATCCTTATTTGCTTCAATAGGAAATATGCTACAAAGAGGTGGAATCTTTATTAATAGCCTTACATGCAATCATTTAGAAAAACTTTTAAAGAATGATGAATTAACACCTGTAAACTTAAATTACTTGATTGATATCTTATGTCATACTACTTATTTTTTATCCTCAGATTTTATTGAAGAACTTCAGACAAAAGTGATAAAAGTTATAAAACAGAATGAAAATAATATTTCAACATCAAGTTTAATTAGTTTACTTGAAACATTCCTTAATAAATTAGGAAAAATTAATACCAGTTTTTTGGATGAGATTTATAAGAATTTATCTCTCAATATAGAAACCTTGAATATACATCAGCTAAGAGACATTTTATTTTTGCTTACATTTTATAATTATTCAACAAAAGAAATTATAGAAATTATTAAAAGAAGAGCACATGAAATATTTTGTAATGGTTATCTCTCTGCTTCAGATGTTGTTAGTTTTCTTAATGTATTTGATATTTGTGGATGGAGTGATGGATGTACTGAAAATGTAAAGCATTTATTGTCTTTACATATTCCTGAATTTGACGTTCTTCTTTTAAAACATGCTGCTAGTAATAAATTTCTGCATAATTGCCTGGATAAGAATATTTTAGACAAATTCAGCAATCGTGTATTAGTAAAACTTCAAGATCTTTCTGGATCAATATCTTGTCTTTTAAGTGTTTTAAAATTGTATTCAAAAATTAAGTATAAAAATCAATCATTTCATTTTCATCTTAGAGAAACAGTTCTTCAGTTAATTGAAAAAAAGGTATTTCACACTGGACATCTTGGAATATTTTATCAATATCTTCTTTCTTCAAATCATAAAGACTCAACAGCTTTTGTAATTAATAATGTTAAGCATAATCTTTCTCAGTTTTCACTTTCAGAAATTGTCCTTATTAGTAAGCAGTTAAATTTTTCAAATACACAAACTGCATTTACATATAATTGTCAATCAGAAATAATGTTGAAAAATTTAAAAAAATGTATATCTCATAGACAAAATGAAATTCAAAATTTAAAACAGTTAAATGTTGTTCTTAAAAATTTCCCTCAAAAATACTTTATAAATGAGAATAATTATTTGAATATACCAGAACTTTATGATCGATTGGCAAGCACTGTGGATTTAAAAACAATAAAATGGTCATGCAGTTATCTAACTAGAGAAATGATATATCTTCCAAAGACATTACACATATTCACAAGTTTTATACAAGAAAATTTAAAAAGACTTGCATTACCAATAATTTTATCATTTCTGCAATTGTGTGCTTTGGTTAATTTTACACCAGATAACTTAGAAGATATAATAAAAATTAGTATAGTGCAATTAAAAGATGAAAATAATTTATTAAAAAATATCAATCTGTTATCGTTAACTCATTGTTGTGTTGTTCTTGGATATTTTCCGCATGAAATTATACAGCTAATTTTTAACATTCAATTTGTGAAAAATTTTGACAAGTTTTGTGAAGGTATGATTAATATTTGTTATTTAATAGTGAAAACTGATTAGTTTTCCATAAAATAAAAGAAATTATTTATGGTTTTATCAGAAAATCCAAATATCCAAAATAAATTTATTCAGAGATTCTTTGATGTAAATTGCTGTACAGTTCTTGAATGCCCAGAAATAGATGTACCTTGGTTTCATCAATATTTTGAAAATGAAAGAGAAGAGAGTGGCAAGTATTACTTTGTTTATTTTTAATTGAAGAAAAATTATTTATTTAATGAAATAATTTATTGAATTTTTTTCTAGCTCATTATGATTATTCTAAATGGAATGAAATTGTGAAATGTTCTTTAATAGAAGTATTAGGTGGACCTGAATTTTTAAAAACTAAGAGGATACATTATCCATACCATTACAAAATAGGTAAGAATTGAATTGCACGTTAACAATACTGGCAACCTATAATAAAATATATGCTATAAAATATTTTTAAAAATATAAGAATATATTGTAAGCTTGTTTATGGAAACAGTTGATATATGGACCAAATTCTTGGATGTTGTCATAGGAAAAGATTAATGTAAATTGTCTTTCATATATACTCATTGCAGAGAAAGTTTAAATAAATTTTTTTTTACATTTAGTACAAGAGCTAAAATATGACAAATCTGGATTCAAATTTTATGTATAGCAAGTCTTCACTTAGCATTGTTTGATTTAATGTCATTTTGTTATAATATTGTCAAGGAAAGATACAAGTACATTTGTAATCATCTACAATTGTTGAATTTTTTTTATAAACAATAAAATTGATTCTATGAGATGAAAAAATAAATTCTGGAGATTGCAAACATGATTCTATTAGATTAATATTAACTGAATTATATCTTGTTTTATATTATTTAGTCTATAGTAAAATTGATTTTGTTATATAATTAATATATTGGGTTAGCAAACTTTTCATTTGCTAACCCAATGTATTATTATTGTTACTATTTATAAGGAGAAGACCAGATATTAGGTCTCTGATTAGAATGAAACTTGGTGAGCATGTAGCTCCAAACACAAACAACTCCTTTTCCAAATGATAGGACCCAAAAAACAGACCTCTGAAAATTGAGTGTTTAGCTTAAGATTTTGGGAGTTTCATTTTTCCTTTTAATGGTGATAGCCATGTGGATAAGATGCTAAGTATTGGAGTATTGGAGCTACAAGATGTAGGTTTGAACCTTCAAAATTTTAGTTTTCTTGTAGATCTAGTACTAAGCATCTTATCCACATAGCTATCACCATTACAAGTAAAAATGAAACTTCCAAAAACTATAAGCTAAACACTCAATTTTCAAAGGCCTGTTTTTTGGAAATGCTTGAGAAGTGGGTCCTATCATTTGGATAAGGAGTTGTTTGCATTTGGAGCTACATGCTCATCAAGTTTCATTTGAATCAGAGACCGAACATCTGGCCCTCTCCTTGTTAGTGTTATTTTTTGATTAATTGAATTTTTAAGACTAAGCAAGTAATTTATATATACACTCATGTCCAAATATAAGCATAATTATCTAATCCATAGATAGATTAAAAAATTAACAGTAAAATATTTCCAGAATGTTCCATTATAAAGCACAAATTTATGCAAAATATGCAGGCTCCATAAATACAGCAGTTGAATGTCACTGTTTCATTACTTTGTGGTTTTATTTTAATTTTTAAAGTTNGGTCTAAGACAGTTCCTTGGTGCGAACGCTCTCGACCGTTTCAATCTCGACTGAAACGAGGTTCTATCGCGATCGACTGGAGAGAGTTCTTGAAACTAGATCCAGTCATAAGAGAGATCCCACAATCCCACGCGCGCAAGAAAATACAAGATGGCTGCTGAACACGTGTCCGGCTATCGACAGAAAAATAAAAAAGACATCTGGAGAGACGATGCAATACAATTAATTTAAAATAATTGTTTTTTAATATATAGTTTTTTGATCTTCACACATGTTCAAAACTTAAGGACAGATGGCATTTTACACGAATAGAGAGAACTGTAGATGAATGCAGACAAGTATGGAAAGAACTGTATTATTTGATATCTAACACAGAGTAATACACAACTTGCAGGATTTTACAAATGAAAGCAAGTAAAGTAAGTCTTTGGTGAATGGATGAAAAGTGCATATTAATATGAATGCAGAGAGTCTTATTAGTGTGGAATATGTCCCCCTAGAACTGCGTTGGTGATGAGCCTGCCATGATGCAAAGTGCCATGTGGCACTTTGCATCATGGTAGGCTCATCACCAACTAATCAGGTCACTGATTGGCAACTTGATCATTTAGTAACTTTTGTATCTATCATTGCTAGCAATTGTGTTTGTCTAAGTTTTGGATACATGTGCACAGATACATATTGAAACATAAACAGAATTTAACACTGACAATATCATGTATGCATTAGCTGCCTGATAGTATTAAATAACATATAATAAATTATATGTAATTTAACAGTATTTATTTTAGTCTTTAAAATGTAATATAATTTATTATATATAATCAATTATTATTTTTATATTCTTAGATATGGAATGCTGGTTAACAAATGACAATATTCCAATTTGTTATAAAGATATAACAAAATTAAAATCTGTAAAGAATGTAGAAAGGTAAGTTAATTAAAAATAAAATATGATTTAAATATATTTATGCCAATTTTTATTATTTAGAATTGCTATTTTAATTCTGCAACCTCATCATTTATGCTCCAATGTGCCACATCTGCTAGGAACTACAAATATGAAGATACGTCATCTGCAGTTGTTAGGATACAGAGTAGTAAAGGTAAAAATAAAATATATGCTTTGGAATAGTATACTTATCTTAATTTGGTAAAATAAAAATTGATATTTATATTACAGATACCATATACAGATTTAAATTGTTTTGAAAATGAAGAAGATAGGTATAAATATTTTGGGAATAAATTATTTGTAAATAGTGTATAAAGTTCAAATAAATTCTTAAAATAATTTTGAAATTAATTGTGAAAGATCTGATTAAATTAAATAGAAATTACCACTACTGATTAAACATGCAGATATATTATTAAAACATTATTTTATTTACATTTTATAATTTTGAATAAACAGAATAAGTTTATTCAAAATTTTGGAGAAATAATTACTTAGAGATTTACATTTAAAAGTTTTAAGGTTTAAAGTAGTAAGAACAAAAGTGAATTATTGTTTTTAAGAAATTATTTTTTTTTATTTTGAGGACATCTATTGCAGGGATCCGTAATTTACAGTCTCCAAAGCATATTTATCCACCCTGCAAAGCTTCTTTTTACTGACACGTTCTATCAACATTTGAAGTAGTGCAAAGCACTACTACAAAATGTTTCAAAAGTACTTTGAATGCACTACTAGTGCATTCGAAGGGAGTGTATTACAATAAAATTACTATAAAAGTTTGAACATTGAGTATATTACTATAAAACTAAAATGTCAAAAAGTTCAAATAAATTTAGCTTTACGAGATGTCAGTTAGCTCTTCGACGCTTAGAACATTGAAAAGTTTGTTTGCATGTGCTTAAATTAATCGTCCAACATTCGCGGGACAATTAATTTAAGCACCTGTAACCTATCTAATTTTTTATTAATTTGCTATACATTATTTTAAACAACAGTATTTTTATTTTATTTTGCTAAAGATTATTAGATTAAAAATTATTATTTATAGTTATTTAGCTAACATATATACAACTGATATTTTATGAAAATTATATGTCTCAAAACATCAAAGTTTTTTTATAGTACCACTCGGTGGGCACTAAGAGAGCCTTTTTAGAAAATCCATTGTGAGTGTGGGCAGGCCCACAATGAGTCGGCCGGGGGTGAGGGACGGAGCCTGATGTATCCGGACAGAAAAAACCTGGGGCTTTTCGACCCGTCCGGATTCGAACTTGAATCTCCCAGAATAGCAGACTCTGGGAGATCAAAATGAAACCCACCGTAATTGCTTGGCCATCCCGCCAAAACGTCTGAGTCGGGTAGGGCATCAAGTACTAACATAAAACCACCCTACCTGTGAAAAGGTGTTCTAATTTTCGTACTTTTGAAAATATGTCAAAGATTAAATCTTTTTCAGATTTAAAGTGTAATCAACATAACAATGATAAATACAAAGTTCAATAAAGTAGAAATAAACGATATGGCGACTGCCCCTTACAACATGGCTCCTAGTCAATTTCAACCAACACAAGATACGTTATACCCCGTTCGCACCGAGCATTTCGATCTAGATTGTGACTAAGGTCGGAGAGAGTTCCTTGGTGCGAACGCTCTCGACCGTTTCAATCTCGACTGAAACGAGGTTCTATCGCGATCGACTGGAGAGAGTTCTTGAAACTAGATCCAGTCATAAGAGAGATCCCACAATCCCACGCGCGCGAGAAAATACAAGATGGCTGCTGAACACGTGTCCGGCTATCGACAGAAAAATAAAAAAGACATCTGGAGAGACGATGACATCTGTCTATTATTAGATATACGGCAAGAAAAAGTATTTATTTCTAACCAAAACTCCCATTTTGTTTGTTGGTGTTCGTGACTTACCGCGTACTTATGTCAATTTTATCATCGCGTGTAATAGCCGGGTTCTTCTCAAGCGAGTTACCTGTGCGAACAGCACGACGTTCCACTAGCGACAGTCACAATCCAGATTGTGGGTAAATCGAGATCGAAGTGAGTCGTGGATTGTGTGCGAACGGGGTATTAGGCAATCCGTGGTGGTGGTCCACATCCACAATGCTTTTTTTTTTCCTCTAACTCTTTTCGCCCTGTGGGCACTAGGAAGGCCTCTTTTTGCAAGCCCATTATGGGTTTGGCCAGGCCCACAATGGGGCTGCCGGATAGTGAGGGATGGGGCCCGACATATCCGAACGGACCACCACCCCCGAAAAATTCTTGGGGATTTTTCGACCTGTTCGGATTAGAACACGGGTCTCTCAGAGTGGTAGGCTGCCGCCTTGGCCGCTTGGCCATCCGGCCACACATCCACAATGCTGTCACGTGAAAGTCACTTTAGTAATAAATTAAGATATCTGAACGTGTTGCCTGGTAAGGCGTCTTTGTTATAAGAACTAAGTTTGGAAGTGTTGTAAACAAAATTCAAGATGACTTCTATGAGCGGAATAATAATTGTTCACTTCTTTAGACTGGGGAATACAGTAATATCTTGACTTACTCTACCCCGACTTACGCGAACCCGGAGTTACGCGATTTTCAAATCTCATCGATTCGTCTTTTGTTTGAGCGGCACGCAACTCTTGATTACTCACCCCCCACACTGCTGTTCAGCTTACATGTTCGGACGTGTCGCGCGGAATCGACACATAGCTACAATTTATTTTTTGTTATTTATTTCTGTGTTTGTTATATCTACGGAGACTTGAGAGACTCTATGTGGTGATTTCTTGTAACCGTGAACGAATCAAAAGACGAGATAAGATTAACGAGAACATTTATTAGTTTACATACATCCGATTTGGGTTTTACACAAATTGCGAAATTATACTCCGACTTACGCGGTTATCGCTCGGTCCCACCTATCGCGTAAGTTCGGGGTATCACTGTACAAAGTATTTCAATGTGATTTCTATGGTTCCAGACAAGTTCTGTGAACACAAGGTCAAGGACACTAATGTTCCCTATGGAGCCACCGTATATCCTTAGTTCCAAGGTCACGGTATAGATTTTATGCTTTCATGCTATTTCATTTGAAATAGGCATCAGAATGAAAAGTTATGTCAATGGTGTAAGGAACCAAGTCCGAGCATTATTTTTATTTACTTTTATTTTGCTTTTTATTATATTTTTGTTTGGGGCTTATGTTTTGTTAGGACGAAGGTTTCCTCACCATTCACCTTAGAAACTTAAAAATAGAAGAGAAACCAACTCACCAACGAGAGAAAAGTGTTGTAGAAAAAACTCGCACACACGTGCGCTCCCGAGCGGAAAAAACTAAGTCCGCACCAAGAAAAAGGGGGGAGACCCCACAAGCACAACTTAGGGACTCACTAAACCTTAAAGAATAAAAACATCCCAACAATTGTCAAAAAGAATAATGTAAAAGGTTAGCGAGTATTGTCGGAAAATAGGCTGCCAGACAAATAGAGAAAGTTTATTGTTAGCAAATAAGTATGTAAATGAGGGGAGTGATTGCATTCAGAATTGTGACGTCACCTCACAGTATAAAGTCTGAACGTCAAGTGAAGATGAACGAGGTGAATTCTAGTTAGCAACGAGCTTGGTGAGCTTTGTAGCAGTGAACGAGAGAGGTGTCCAATAGGATCAAATAGTTCCAAGGCAATTTTGAAGTTATTCGATTTGTGGATCGACGAATAGAGAAAGTCTTGAGAGTTGAGGAAATAGGTTCCTAGTACAGTGGTACCTCGTATAACGTACGCCTCGAATAACGGACACTGCAAACAACAGACTTTCTGTTTGGCCGTTACATGACTCGAGCATAGGACTGGCTGCGAACAACAGACTTTCTGTTCAGCAGTTACGTGAGGCGAACAATGGACTTTCTGCGAACAAGTGCGAATAATATTTTCACTCTTTTGCCGTTGCCAATGACAATCTGCTATTTTTATAATATATTAGTGTTATTAGAATATATTAGTATATCTGAAGTACAGAGCTCCCGTTGGGATTCGGCTTGCTTCCTTGTTTATTACGTACATCACCTCAGTTCAGGGTATTTACATTTATTCAAGTGTTGTGCAAATCATGGCTTCTAAAAATACAGAAAGATGATTTCAATTAAAACAATGCAAGAAATCATCAGAAGGAGTGAAAGTTGACAACAACTTTCTTGTCGAATGGGAGTGTTTCAGGAGTTTACTAACGCTCATTATCCAAACAGAGCTGAGGCCACCAGGATCAATGATCTCTACAATGACACCCTTGCCCGTCATTTCCGACAGGTGTTGAAGAAGAGAGAGAAACAGACCACCTTGGACATGTTTTTTAAGAAGCCAGCAGGCAAAAAACAAAGAATGGAACAAGAGGAGTTGACCCTGCAAGCTCCGGAAGTCTCTCCTGAATCTGACTAATTAAAAAACAATAAAAAGAGATCCGCTGCGATGTGTATAAAGTCTGTATCTGTATGAATGTGTGAAGAAAGTATTCCTCCATCTCTTCCTTACAATGTCTACCTTACCCGGCATAATTGGTGACTGCTCCATTTTCATTTTTTTAATGGTACAGTATGGTTATTTTATGCTGCGGAACGAATTAT